ATAACATTTCAGACATTGTTATAAATATTTTTATCTATTTCGATTTTTAAAATGTTCGAACCGTTTTAAATTCGAATTTGTTATTGCATATTGGTTCGATTATAGAACGATTGTAAACGTTCCAGAAAATTGATCAAATTGAAAATAGTTCATTTGATTCTCAGCAATTCTCTTCAGCGGTAGGTGTTATATAGACATAACAATTACTATAGTTATTGAAATATTGAATGTAAATGGGGTTTCCTTCCAAAACCTCCGCGGACAAAGTCGCGGGTAACAGCTAGTTCTCTATAAAATACTTACAATTACATTCTGTAACATTTTAATACAGTAATTAAAAATACATTCGACTCCCCTATAACATTGTTGATAATTCCGTTTTATATGAATTCCATGTTGTACGAGTCACTTAGATTTTAGAAATACAGCTTGGCACACGTATTTGTAAAATCTAAATGACTCATACAACATGGAATTCATATAAAACAGAATTATCAACAGTGTTATAGGGGGGTCGACTGTATTTAAAAAAAACAAACTTGTTACAAGTGGCCTAATGGATAAAACCATTAAACTTGGTACTCGGACCTTTTCTTTCCTTTAGGAGTCATAGTTATATTTATTTAAACAATTTGAATACAATGCATCTGGATATCACATAGGTATAACCCAGTACCATGATGGGTGATAAATACAAATTACATACACAAATTGAGTAATTAACGCGTAACAAATGAGGTAAGTACGGTTAGATACAAGAATATACATTAAGTTAATTACAACAGTGTACATGAAGTTAGTTACATAAAATTGATTATATAAATATTAGATACACTAATATACGAAATAACATTGGGGTAATTAAACACAAAGTAGTATAGAATACATATACACATGCAAACACAGAACATTTCTCAAATAACATAAATTAATAACATAAACAGTAAAATAAATAAAATACTCATACAGCTACAAATATACACGAATACTATACGTGTGTGTATAGGCCGATACAAATACAAAATAGAATAGGATGCCAAATAGAAAGTTGTAGTCGGTAGACAGAAGGAAACTAGTTGTAGGCGCTTACAGATACAGATACAGATACAGATATTTATTGATCAATATGCCATATGGCATATCCCGGTGCCACTAAGTATTACCGGGTATATACAGGAAATTACATAGTTTACACTGAAGATTTCGATAACTAATTATTAACGTAAATAAAATTAATTAACGCGTNCGAAGAGCTTTGTAGGCGCTTACAGTTGTCTTTACAAAATATTTATTAATAAGTGCATTGAATGCTTCATAAGTGTGTTTGTTGTTGAAAATTTTATCGGAATCAGACGGCCATTCATCACCGTGTGCCTCGAAGGTCGTCTTCAGTTGAAATCTTTCCAATTCCAACACGGGGCAGTTAAGGATTTAATGTTAACTGCCATCCATTACCTAACAAAGAGAGCAGTCAGCGTTAGGCACATTCTTGAATTTTGCCAGATATAAGTAGAATCGTCCATGGTTAGTCAGAAAATGACTAGTACGCTGGCCAGATGTCCCTGCGACAGTCAAAGAAGCGTCTGATGTGGGGAGTGTATTGCTATTTACTTTTACTCCAAAGAGAAGAGAGACAGAAAATAGATTGCAAGGCGATAGAAATGCTGGCCTTATAGAAGATGGCCGGAAGATACACAAAGGAAGATAGAATGCCTTCCGGGAGGACTATTATGGGGAAATGGTCCCTATTTAGGCCTCTATTTATGGGGAGCTGGCCCTATTATCATCTGCAAGGAGAAAACCCGGAAAACTCCAAGCTGCCAGCCTGTCCAATCGAGGCGAGAGCTCACAACCAAACTTCCTAGTGTTTAGGGTCTGGTCACTGCCTCTATAAGCAGAGACGGAGTCCACTCGGCCACTGGTGGGCAGTCTGGGATTTTCCCCATGTGACTAGGCTGTTTTTATTGTGGGCTGGGCTTGAATTCTGGCGCCAACTAACTACATCGCCACCTCGCGTTCTCACTTCTTTTTACTTACTAAATTAAATTCTCCCAACAGTATCTCCAGTAGGATCAAACATAATGACGATTTTACTCATTGTTAGTACAGTATTTACAATTTTTTATAAAATTCATCCATATTCCAACTGGGAATTAAAATGAATATTTATATGCAATTTAAAATTTTTTCGTGTATGATCGCAAGTGATCGTGAGCCTACTTCTTCGGGTGGATGACTGTAAGATTGGACAAACTGCGGAAGGACACACATACAATACAGTAGAGCGTCGATTATCCGAACGCCATTCATCCGAAACGTCAATTATCTGAAAGAATTCCAGTCGGCAAATTTAAATTTTTGCCAGTGCTGTGGAGCTTCAATCTTTGGCTATGTCTTGGGCTACTCTAATATTTATTTATATTTATGAAAAGAGTTGCCATGAAGCAATGAAAAAAAGAAAAAAAAAATTATTGATTACTTGATAGCTTAATCAATAATTAATAACCTTGGAATTATTGCTTCCTAAAAATAATTCTTAAATTGTTATAATTATGCACTTATTATCATAGCTATGAATGATCAATATTGTTGTAAATGGAAATAGCTTCTAGTATCATTAAACACAATGTATATTGACACCAAAGAGTAAATAAACAGACATTGAATAAAACAACTAAAACAAAATAATGTTAAAACAGAAATAAATAAACAGTGCTTAAAATTATAATCTTACGTTAAGGATTGCACCATCAGATACAGCCAATTCAAGCTGACAACTGACAATTTTTTCTTGCTGCATATTTTTACATTCCAACTTTTTCTGTTTGATTAACAACGTTCGAAGTAAGACAGTTAAATGTATTGAGAATGCTAACAACTGCTTCGATAAATTCTTGTTTTAAAAACAAATGTTTTAAATTTTTTTACGTTGATTTAAGACATATATTGGAGAACCTGAAATTCCGAATTATTCCAAATTTCGAAGCAAATTCGAAACACCGTATCATAAAAACAGTACAAACCACATTTTTATTGTACTTTTTCATAGAAGAAAAATGTTGTAATTTAGAATAAATAAAAACACTTCTTAATGTAGAGGACGTAGTTGCAGTATCATCATCAAAGACGCTACACACTGCAAATAAAAACACTTTCTCTCAATTCCAAAAGTTCTTTATTTTCATAACATTAATAATACAATGTTTCATTTTATGTTTGTAATACAACTGCAATAACAAAATTTCAAGAAAAAGTCAAAAGAATTGAATAAATGGTAAACTTCGGAATTAAATAATTCCTTACAAGTTAAAAACTGTTTACTGTATTTAGGTTAATTAATGTTCTCTCTGCTATGGCGTTTAATGTGAGAATTTAAACTACTTTTGAAAGAGAACTTACGAAAACAATAATCGCACTCGAACGGCTTTTCTCCCGTGTGGATGAGAAGATGCCTTACAAGAGTTTGTCTTTGAGTAAAGCTTCGTTGGCAATGGTCACACGTAAAAGGCTTCTCTCCGGTATGAATCCTTAGGTGCCTTCGTAGATGAGAACTTTGAATGAATCTTTTTTCACATAACTGGCAACTGAACAGCTTTTCTCCTGTGTGAATGCGAAGATGGCTTACAAGATGTTGTCTTTGAGTAAAGCTTCGTTGGCAATGATCGCACGTAAAAGGCTTCTCTCCGGTATGAATCCTTAGGTGCCTTCGTAGATTAGAACTTTGAATGAATCTTTTTTCACATAACTGGCAACTGAATGGCTTTTCTCCCGTGTGAATCATCCTATGACATTGAAAGCCGTACTTCCGAGAGAATCCTATACCACAGTTTTCACACACAAACTTCCTCTTCTTCGTATCGGCGAAATCTACGAAACACAAAATATTAAACTTTATTGTTGAAAATTAATCGATCGTATTAATTACTGCAAAGATACGCAGCAAATATTAATTCTGCATTTCTTGACATAAACGCTTCACAATAACATAACAAATAAATCTAAATTCAAACATAAATAATATATCTAACAAACAACCCCACGTTTGCATTACAAAAAGGTAAAAATACAAAACAAATGTTTAAAACAATCTTGGCAGCGTGTTGACAAAACATGTTCATGTTAATTCATCGACACAATTTTTCAGTAAATCTGTAGACAGATGAATCGTTTTCATTTGAAATCCATTTTCTCCGAAGTAAACATTCAGTTCCTTCTTCCATTCTTGTACTTTTTCACAGATATTCTTCGGGATAGATGTTGGGTGCCCGCAAGAAACATCTTAAAAAAAATGTAGAAATTAAATAACGAATAAGATATAATTAAGTTTAATTTTTCCTCGAAATTAAGAGAATATTCGAGAAACTTTTAAGTTGTTAAACACGAATACATTTTAAATATACAAACGATATTTCCCAATACTTAAGACGAGTGTTGACAAATCTGAAAAATAAACGAGATAAATAAATAAAGTGACGCCTTCCATTGAGTATTTTCGATATGATAATACCAAAACGTAAATCAGTTTACTTGTGTAGTTAAGACAAGGTTATAGGAATAACGAAACTATACAGTAGATCCCCCTATAAAAGCGTTTCCTATAGTTATGATTCCTATAAAAATTGTGGCATTATCCGTAAACAACGGTAAAAATAACTCCTATAATACGTAAAACGTCATCGGGCAGCCGAACTACTTACCCGCCGTCCGTAGCGCCACGCTACGGAGAGATTTCTATCGTCTGGACAGTATTATATAAATTATATATAAATTAGGTACTGTACATATAATTATATATTAATTATATATAAATTAGGTACTGTATATATAATTATATATTAACTTAATTTATTGTAACTTTATTATAATTAAATATATATTTTTCGCCGTCTAGCGTCACGCTACGGCGAGTTAGGCGACCTATCGTCTGTTTAGTACTGTAATTTTATACATTTCTTGTGAAAGAAACATTTCTTATTTAACGGCCATAAAAATTATTTATATTAATGATGTCTCCAAAGGTCAACGAAGTTTTCGCAGAAAAATAATATCAGAAATCGCGGCCGCAATTTGATGCGCTGTTCCGCGACGAAACCAAGCTTTAGCAACGAGCGTAGTCAAAGGGTACACACTCGGTAAGTAATCCTACAATTTTTTGTTTATAACGTAGTTTATACGGATTATTTTCAAAAAAATATACGTATTTTGGAAATGTTGAGTCGAATTAGTCTAGAATCGATTAATTTTATGAAAGAAAACCTTTCAAACAGCCGTAGTCCGTAAACTATGATTCCTACAAAATTGATTCATAAAGAACGGAACGTATCTACCGTCTTATAGGGGGATCTACTGTAATTTAAAATTTAAATTCAGTAAATTTCGAGAAATTTACGGATTTATTAATCTATTTACTAGATTATGGAATAAGATGGAGAACAGATCGAACGTAATTGAAATAACATACGAACATTTACTTGAAAAAAATCCACGTTCCTTCCTTGAATTCAATGTCGTTGCTGTTATGATTTTCGCTTCTTCCAGTGAAAGTTCTTCATTTCCTAATGACCGGGGTGAACGTTTACACCGTTTTACAACTAAAAAGAAATTCTCCCGTCAATAAAAGTAGTAAGACGTTACTCACCATTTTTCCGTTACAAATTTAAAATAACAGTAGCGCCCTCTAATATTTGAAAACAAAACTCGTAAACATCGACATCGAGTCATCAATTTTATTCTTTTAAGAAACATTTCGAAGACTTTGAATCCAATGAAATTTATTATTAGTGTGGGTAGCCTGAGGTAGGAAGAAGTCGTATTTCGTTTTGATAGGCAACAGTTTGGTGTGAACTTCCCATTGGTTAGTGGATGGCTAGGATAATGTTTTTCTATCCCGAAAATTCGGGACTCTTTTTGTCAGGTCGAGTGGAGGAGGTGAGAGGGGTCGTCGCTAAGACGTTGGCGATATTCGAATTAAAGACACCAATTAAGAACTAAAGAAGAATTTATTAGACGATAACATAACTACCATAAATACATGATGTCGCGCGTACACGCGGAAATGAAGGGAAGCGCGCCGAAAGAGACTTTACATTAAACACACGTCTACGACTGGCAGTGAATGGTTTCGTGGACGGATCGGACGACTTCGGGCCATTCCGGTCGTTGAGAACGGACGGTGGCGATGAAGATCGGCACGGGTTGTCGGCGATAACGGTCGGGAACAGACGTTAGGCGATGCCGGGTTATAGGATTGGCTGCGATGAGGGCTTGATCACGGACGGCGAAGTCGACTTCTTTGTCTGTCGTCCCTTCTTTTATATCTTCTCTCATGTTATCTCTTTACACCAATCGTAAATATTTTCGGATACGATTCTGGTGATATAACTTTGGGTTCCGGACAGTGACGTACCGTAGTGGGGGCGGCAGGGGCGGCATTTTTAGGGGGGGAGGGCAAAATTTCACAATAAATAATAATAATATCTTGTAAAAATTGGAAATATCCTAATCTATACTTGCATCGCGCCTACGATAGTGCTATCGTCTGGACAGTCCCGGAATCGGTTCGCCGTCCGAGTGAACTAGTAGAGAGGTTGAGGCAGATGTTTTAAACGTGTAAACATGTACGTGTGACGTTCGGCGCCGCTTTCCCGTAAGCCTAAAAGTTTGACGATGGTGTTTGGAATGTCGAGCGTGATTCCACCGACTTGAGTACTTGAGTCCAAAAGAGAGAAGGCTGTCTTATGACTTAGCCCTTGGAAGTTGGAAGTTGAAGAGGGGGTAGGGAGGAGAGGAAGTTGTGGTTTGAAAGGAAAGTGAAAGCATAGAAGGGGAGTGTGAAGGGTGAGATGTCATTGGCATGTTACATCACACTTATTTTAGAGAAAACATTGATTTTTACAGGGACCAATTTGGTCAGATGAGACATGACGATACAGAGGATACAATTGGGATACATATTCACAATACCGCAGATAGAAGGTAACATACCCTCGCTAGAGGTAACATAACACAGGTTTTGTATAATCCAAGGTACATAGATAAAGTATTATATATAATCCTAAGTACATAGATAAGGTTTTGTAGATGGAGAGGACGACACCGCGTTACAGTAGGGTAACACTTCATGAGTTAAAGTCAGATGCGCCTAATTACACATTGCAGGCTGAGAGGACAACCTAGTACAACAGTAGGGCCACCCTGCGTAGAGGAGTGGTAGCCGGTTACTGCGAGCCTCCATACAGGCTCGGTCGCTGGAATGATCGAAGATCCCGCAATCGGTGATAAATTTTTCAAGCAGCGAATAGTTCTTTTTGGGGCTGAGAAAGTCCTCCCATGGTGGGAGCCAAGTCTTGCCGTTCTCCGCGCACTGAGTGATTAGTTTGCCCCTAGGTGCATCACACAGTGGACAGTCCAAGAGTGTATGGCTGATATCACCTATTGTCGTGTTGTCACAGCTGCAGTAATCATTGTCTCTTTTCTTGATGCGGTGTAGGTAACTAGGAAGATTCCCATGGCCGGTTAGAAGCTGAGTCATGCAGTAGGAAGGGATGAGGTAGCCCATGGCTTGGCGACCAGTGATGGATGGTAAGAAGCGGTAGGTGGTCCTTCCTGTTGCCGAGTTAGACCAGTCCTTTTGCCATTCTTTATTGATCTTCTCTTTTATGTACCTGTGTATATAACTGATGGGGAGCTTATCAAAAGTGATAGATAGCTGATTGCTGCTGGCGGCCTTTCTAGCCAGCATATCAGCCCTATCGTTCCCTTGGGAGCCAGAGTGCCCGGGAACCCAGCAGAAAGTGATTTGTCTCTGCTTGCCTAAGTGTCTTGCAAGATGCGGGATGTTCACTCCTGTTTTAGTGTTCTTTTTACTGCCATTTATGCTGTTTAATACGTAGCGACTGTCCGTGGAGATGTTTATTGGGCCCTTAAAATTTTTGATGTTTTCGGTGATGTAGAGTAGGGCCCTTTCCATGGCCCATAGCTCGGCCTGATTAACGGTGCAAAAGTCTGCCAACTTGTAGTACTCTTCGTGTGCCACGGCTTTTTGGTTATTATAAATGACCATTGCCGCCCCAGTGCCACTATCGTTCTTGGCACCATCAGTGAATATCTCCCAGTTGAGCTTGGGGTGGTTGCTCTCTTCTTTCATGTTAACATGAATACTGCTCCTTTCCGCGGGGTGATTTTGGTCAGTGACACTGTTAATATAGCTGTCTATACTGTANTTTGACTTTAGTTGTCCTCTAAACGGGTGGAAAAAGTCAAAAATAACTTTTTAAGGACCACAAGCTGGCCATGTGGACCTTAAAAAGACATCCCTGAAGGCATCCCCTCTAGTTAGATCGCCCAATTGTTGCGTTAATTTAACAAACAATAACGATTATTTATTGATTTATTGACATTAGAGTGGGGTCAAAATGTAGCTTTATTCTAAAGAAAATAAATTTATATTCATCCTGTACCGTATAATTCCAATATGGATCCGTAATTTATGCTTTGTACCTTCTGTTTTATATACAGTCGACCCCCCCTATAATTACGGTCCCTATAATTACGATTCCTATAAAACTACGAAAAAATATACGTATTTTGGAAATGTTCAGTCGGATTAGTGTAGAATCGATTAATTTTATGGAAGAAAACCTTTCAATCAGCTGTAGTCCGTAAACTTTACACATGTCGGGCTGTGATTGGAACGACTTGTAAGAAATCGGATTCCTAATAAATTGGAACGTATCTATATCTTATAGGGGGGTCGACTGTATTACAGAAAATAGTTTTAAAATTGTACGAGTATAAATAATATAAAATACTTCTATATTATTTTTTACCACTATAATTTAATTCTTAAATTATGAACTTCAATTTTAGTAATTGTAGTAAAAGAAATAACGGTTAATGTTACGTGTGATTCCAAAACGGCCGCGCTTCCGACTGTTCCAAGGTCTATATAAGAAGGCCAGGACGCGTGATCTACTTCTTGAGCCGTTATTTTGGGATTTTTGAGTCGCATGTTTTAAGCAAACAAGAATATAATAATATAATATAACAAATTTATAATTATTTTTTAAAGCACGAATGGTTATAAAATTAAGATAAAATTCAATAGCATTATTAATAAATGTTGTCAATGTAATGCTCATTTTATAATAACTAATACATGTGTAGATATTTAAAAATAGCTTTCAAAAAATTCCAAAAATAAAATTTAAAATTAAATTATTTGCCAGTAAACTATATATATTACGTGCCTATATATATAGGAATAGGCACTATATATATAAGCACTATATATATATATAGGCACGTAAACAAAGTATTCATAGAACTAGTACATTTTGAAGGAAAATAGTACATTTTTTGAAGGCGCTTCAGTACGTTTNATATATATTACGTGCCTATATATATAGGAATAGGCACTATATATATAAGCACTATATATATATATAGGCACGTAAACAAAGTATTCATAGAACTAGTACATTTTGAAGGAAAATAGTACATTTTTTGAAGGCGCTTCAGTACGTTTTGAAATTTCATTGCAGCAACACTGGTTCACCCTGTTGCCCGAAATTTGCGCTGCGTAAGTCAGCGCCGGCTCAATCGCTTTCTTGTATATTAGCTTGCAGTGTTTCCCATGAGTTTCGGGCAATGTGATGTATAATGTTTGCCTTTTGACTGACTCTTTTGCAGAGTTCCTCAATGTGGGTTTTAAAGCTGAGAGTGGGGTCTAAGAGTACACCCAAGTACTTAAGGTGGGATGTTATCCTGATCTTGTGACTGTTTATATACAGGCAGAGTGGCCGTTGGAGTTGCCTCCTTTTTGACTTTTTTGTGCACACCAGGGCTTCGCATTTCTGGTAGTTAATGGGTAGTTTATTGTCCTCACTCCACTGGTTTATAATCGTGAGGATTTCGTTGCCGTTCTTTTGGAGCACATTGCAGTTCTGATGTCTCACCATCAGGACTGTGTCGTCCGCGAAGCCCTGTATCTGGGTGTCTCCTTTTTCAGGAATTGAGTTGAGGAGGTCATTGTATACGAGGTTCCACAGCCCGGGCCCACTGCGGGACCCTTGCGGGCAGCCCCTGAAAATCCGCTTTTTTATGCTGATATTGTTGTTGAAGAAGCCCGCCTCTCTGTCAGTGAGATAGTCTTTGGTGAGATTGTAGATATTTTTGGGGCATTTAGCCTTCTTCAGATTAGTCAGGATAGCTGGCCACCATAGGTGGTCGAACGCTTTTTTGTAGTCTACACTGATCAGGAGGGCGTGCATATCTTTCTCCCACGCTTCCTTTATAAAGCTTGTTGCTTTTTCAAGTGCGGTTATGGTTGACCTCCCCGGTGATTCCACCGACTATCCAAACACCATTGTCAAACTTTTAGGCTTACGGAAAAGCGGCGCCGAACGTCACACGTACACGTTTAAAACGTCTGCCTCAACCTCTCTAGTAATTTTTTCATCCGAGGAAATCCTGCGAAACCTGTTGACCTTTTCTTTTCTTTCTTTTTTTATTGCTGGTACGATTCATTCGCGTTCATATACATTACTAATATCCAATAGAACTATTTTAAACAGGTCGCTGCACTACCACCGAATTTTTCATGCTTGTTCTGTGAGAAAAGTGAATTTTGGTCTTTTAAATTGAAATACCTAAATAAGGGGGGCCTAAATTTTCCTCTGCCCCGGGCGGCTGACA